GAAAAAGTACTAACAAATATCACTTGGTACCGGGGTTCCAAAAAACACCCCATTAGCATATTTAGTGTTCCTAAATCTAAAAATTCTATATAAATTGGATTATTGTATTTGAATAAAATCAAATTTCCCGTTCTTACCCCTTTTTATACTTTTTTCCTCCCTTATTCACGAAATATAAATTCAATTCTAAAAAGTTGTAACATCGTAGTGGGAGCCCGTTATTATTATATGTATAAGTTTATAAACCAAAAACAATGTTTTATGAAAAAAGTACCAAAAATAGGTACAATTTTCACCCATTACACGTTTGAATATCCAAAAAGTACTACATAAATTCATATTTTTATTTTTCGCTAGGTAATGAAGGAGTCAAAATATTTGTTCAATGTTCACTGGTTGAAAAGATACATGGGGTTCCAAAAAAGTACCAAAATACAGTTTTTACCCGTTTAATCCTTAATGGGCCTAATTTTAAAAAAGTGCCAGTCACCTGTCCGTTTATTTTTTAAATGAACAACGATAAGCTGGTTTAGGAGATATGAGGTTACCGAATTTACCCGTTTTTACTTTTAACCCCTAAACATTCGAATTTCCAAAAACATCTCAACCGTTTAGGCTGTGCAATGATGAATCAGCCAGTCAGTCAGTAACGTTACAATTTTATATATATCATCATTAGTTGTTATAGAGAGCATATATGGATGTATGAATGTACATTACGGTATCCCGTGAAATACTCTAGGAATACCTCTCAAACGACACGTATTAATGTAATAAATACGAGAAGTATAAAAAACATTCTTTTTGAAAAGCACCTCAGTTCCCTACTCTGAACACAATATGCTCAAACAAAAAAATTGTCTGCAATCTTTTTGAAATTGATTTCAAAAATTCCATAAATTTGGGCTTAACGCGAGAAATATAATAAACATTTTTGTTAGAGTATTTCTGGTTCGCAAAACGACATTTTGTGGGCATATAAATTCCAAACAATCTTAAAAATTCTGAAACGGGCCAAAACAAATATCAAAAATTTTTTGAAAAGTGTTTAAAATAATAATCCGTATAAGCTAAAAATTACGATAATAGGTGTCAATATTTCTGTCTTTCTCTCAAACCCGCTATAAATCATTTTGTGGACTAAAAATATTAAACAAAATTTAAATTATTTTTCATGTAATCAGCTCAATTACGGACATTTTGAGACCCATTTTGAAAATATTAAAGAAATTTTTTTTGAACATATTGCAAAGAGATCAAGATTTTCAATCGCAGATTGGGAACTGAAGAAAATGTTTATATTTTTACAATTAAAAAAATATAGATTTAAATATTTAAATGATCTTTTCAAAATATGCTCAATTAGTTTTGTGAATTAAAATCAAAAGTAATCATTACTCTAGCTTGACTATTTATCTTACCACAACTGTAAATCAAAACAAAATAAAAATAAACTAATAAATAAACATAAAATATTGCCTAGTTTTAGGAAATATCTTTTAAACTAAAATCATATAAAATTTATTAATTAACACTTTCAATTTTATTGCACACGATTGATGTAATAATTTTATTTCCAGACTCGTCTGAAATCGTTGCATTTTAATTTTATCTACAAGCTGCATTTCATTATAAATTATGCACAAGCAACAACACCTTAATTACTTAGGAGATTTTGTAAAAATGCATAATGAAGATTATGATCAAATATGGTTTTTATAAAAATAGCCGAAATGTTGTCATGTAAATTTATCATGTTTGGTTTACAATAAAAATTAATTTTACACATGAATATATAAGCGACACATTAAACTCTTCACGAATTTGGGGAAATTGTGCCATTTACCGGTTGTGAGAATACGAAATCGAGACAGACATTAAACATTTCGTAAAAATTTACAAGTTTGTTTGAATTTTTAAATAGAAATAACGAGATAAATTCCAAAATATAATATAATTTATAGTTGTTGAGAGCGTTTGATATAAATAGTAAGTAAAAGGGGAATTGTAATAACAGTTACAGATTAAACGTTTCAATAGTTACAAGTGACTTCCGTTATAAACAGAAAGAATCTTTCCTTTAAATTGAAAATGCGTGCTTTTGTGGTAAATATTTAAAATGAAATGAATGTAATAGTAACTTATTTGTATTTTCTCTTTAAGTTGTTTTGTTTTTTAGCGCTTGCATCAGCTCAATATAATTATGGACCTCAAAGTCATGTCAACAACGATGGCCCATTAGATGGTAGCAATTCAGATGCTTTGTCAGTAGCAAATCAACCAGTGGTGGAGGAATACAACAAAGCTTTTTACTCGTACAGTGCTCCCGAACAGGAATTTGATGATTTAAATGCTGGCGAACATATAGCAAATGCTTTGAAGAAAAATTTACGTGTGATTTTTATTAAAGGACCTGAAAATACCGCCCTCGAGAATGCCGCTCTCCAATTGGCTAAAGGTGCTTCCGATGATCGTACTGCCATTTATGTTCTTAGCAAACAGTCTGATATCGGTTCCCTGGCTAATCAATTGCAACAGCTTAAGGCCAACAATGCTGTCAAACCTGAAGTCCACTTTGTTAAGTATCGTACACAAGCTGATGCGGAGAATGCTCAGCGTACCATTCAATCTCAATATGATAGCTTACCTGGTGCCACCAGTAGTAATGGTCCTAGTTCTGCTTCAGTTTTGGACTTTGCCTCAAAATCTGCTTCGCCGTCAGCAATTAATAATGCTGCTGCTAGTGCTCCAGCTTCTGCACCAACTGCTGCCCCCGCAAGAAGCTACATTCCCTCAAGACATGCATACTTACCACCAAGCAAAAGATTCTAAATATGAAATGTTAGAAATTTTATTGGAGTCTAACGAAGAATATTGAATAGTTTTAAATTATTATTTTATTTTTTAATTTTATTTTAATTTTGTTTTAATTTAAAGTTTTTTATTTATTTAAATATAATCCAAAAGTAAATATTTTAAACTATATTTATGTTACGTCGTTTGTATTGTGGAGAGTACAGGTAGCATTACTAAAAATAATTTAAACAAATTTGGAATGTAATATTATATTGTACCAAGGTTAAAGCAAATAGTTAAAGTTGAACCATTATTACATATACAAGATGAAATGCACAATAATTTCATAGTAAGCGAGAAAAATGTTTAATAGTTATTATCGGTCACAATGTCATATAGAAAATATAGTGGTAGCCTGGAATCAAGAAAAATTATAACTTTCCTACAAGCCTGGCTAATTTTCATAAAACCATGATAGGCTGATCGAATTTAATTCATTCTATGATACAATTTCTCTTTTTTTTTTTTTTGATTTGACGCATAGCGGTATAGAAGTAAAAATGTTTAAATAATTTTGTAACTTCTAAACGATTTAGAATTTGGACCTCCGCAAAGTGGGACACATCGGGTATGTTAAATTTGTAAAAAGATCCCATTTACACCTTTGTTAGACATTTCCTGTACATTTTACTGCCAACGTTGTAAGATCTAACAACCGTGTATACATAGCTTAACATCACAATAAAATTTGGCACAAATAAGTTTCATATAATCATAAATTCCGACAATAAATTTTATAATTTTTACCATAGCCCGCATACAACCGGATCTACCGCTTTGGGCCTTTTAGCTCAAAACTACGACGAATATAATAACATCTTTCCAAAAATCAGTGTAATTAAGTTTGATATAATTATAAATAATACTGTCGATTTTCGTAATGAAAATGACTTGAATACCCATAACTCACTTATAAGTTCACAATTCACTTATAACAGTATCTTATTTAACCCTAGCCCCTATACTTATTTAACCCTAGCCCCTATACTAAGTCCCCTTCAGAAAATGACTTGAATGTCCACATGTCCATAGTATCACGTTGAAATTTGGCACAAATAAGTTTTATAAAAACATAATAAATTTTATAAGGATCTCAATTTCTGCCCCAGCCCCCGAACAGCCGGACCTTCCGATTTAGGCCTTTAATATACTACTATCTATATACTACTATCTATAAAAAAAATCGGCACAATGTGCTAATGTTTGTAATACTCAAAAATATTTGTCCTTAAGTATACCAGTCGGTTCAGTATCACTTTCTGATACTATTAAGCTATGTCCGTCTATGTGTCCGTGTAAACCTTGTGTGAACGCTTCAGCTCGCAATTTTCAATATAATTTGTTAAAATTTTTCACTTACTCGTCTCTGGATCCAATGACGAAGGCTGTTGAAAATTATTGAAATCGGTTTATGTCTCCTAGTTCTCTCAAAGGACATTTTTCTTTTGATCCAGCTCACCAAATACTGATCCCGGAACAAAAATTTTGAGAAATGCTATCTTAAACTGAACCACATTTCAGTTTCGGTGGGAACATAAGTACATTTATTTTTTCTCCATACAAACGGGTCCATTACAAAGTATTAGAATGTCCCGAGGAATTGCCTTTTGAAGCATCTCATGTAGGAATAGCTCTCAATCAATGCGTACTAATGTACTGAACACAAGAAAAAATATTTTTTTTGAAAGGGACCCCAGTTCCCTACCAGCGATTGAAAATGTTGATCATAGTACGTGTAGTGTATTTTTTTAGTGCTTTTTATCGAAATGCATATTTAGGTGTCCACGGGACACCCTAATTTATGTTTGTAGGGTGCAAGAACACTTACCACAAATGACCCACTGTATTATATCGCTTTAAAAACCACACCAACTAAAAGTATGCTTCAGTTTTGAATATTTATAAAATGAAATTGAAAAATTTATTTATAACACTTTGTTAAAACCACTACAAAAATACATACATACACATGCATGTATGCTTATTAATGTATGCGTGTGTTAATGTTTAAATAAATGTTGTCACTGATTTTGGCCATTAATGAATGTGTAAATGGAAATTATTTAAATACAATAAATAAACTTAATTTATTACAAATAAAATGTAGCAATGCCAGATATAATAGCAACAACATCATCACACTATTAATGTTTGACAGCTGCAGGTAGATATTTGGAAACTGGTTTTATACTTTCAGTCTTGTCGCCAACGGCCAATGATTTGCGAGGTTCCACACCATTGCTTGAGCCAGTTGCGCCAACAAAGTTGTGCGTAACACCAGTATCAGGTCTATTAATGTGATTGGGTCCATCCAATGCTTCATATTGTGCCTGAATAACCCGTTGAGCATGTTCGGCTTCTTCTTGAGTGCGATATTTGATGAAGGCCACTTCAGGTCGTTGTGGTGTGGATGTCTGTACGGTTTGTAATTTTTGAGCCAATTCAGCGGCATCATGTTGTTTGGTAAGTACATAAATAGCTGTTTGGGCATTGGCTGATTGTTGAGCTAATTGTAAGGCGGCATTTTCCAGACCATTATTTTCAGGTGCCTTAATAAACACAACACGTAAATTTTTCTTCAAAGCTGCAAGTTGCTTGTCTAGGTCCTTGGGAGTTTCATATTCCTCTGGAGGAGCTGAAAGATAGTAGAATTCTTTTTGGAATGAAACTTTTTTCTCCTCAATGGGCTGTTGATATATTTCTGGTGCTTTGTTTTGTATCTTGGGCTGTATGATAAATTGTGTTTGTGGCTCATTAACGATTTCTGTTTTGTGTTCTACTTTACGTGAGTCAATAGCTGTTTTGGTTTCAATTGGAGGTGCTTGTTCAACAAGTGAAAGAATTTGTGGTTGTTGCTGTTGGTTTAGTTTGAGTTGATTTTCATATTGCAATACTTGTTGTTGGGCCTTTTGCAATAATTGATCGTCAAACTGGTAACCACTCTGTTGTGGTAGATTAAACGATTGTGTCAATTGCTGCAACTGAGGAAGTTGGTCTTGATAAATGATTTGGGGCTGCTGCTGTTGTTGCTGCTGGAGTATTTGAAACTCATTGGGTATGGCCTGTATAGAATTATCCGAGGAACCCAATTCAATTTGATAATTATAACCCTGAGGAGCAGCAAAGGCAAAACCAGCAAAAAGCGTAAACTGAAATGAAATCGAAAATTAAAAAAACTTTTTATCTAAAATATATATTTAAACTTACCAGGAACACACGCATTCTTAATTTATGGGAGAGGGTACGGTTCCCTTAAAATATATTAGTCTTTACAAGGCAAAAATTAAAATGTAACTGTTTATACTAGTTGGGTCCAGTGCAGTTTTTATATATTGGCCAAAATTACTATAAACTGAAAAAATTTCTTTTTTTTTTTTAAAAATAGTCTTTATGTGTGACTGTATCTTGCGGGTTGGCAGACGACTTATGTTCATTTCTAATATTTGGCATAATTTTTGCATAAATTTGTCAATGATATGTTATCAATAAAAAAAAACAGAAAAAAAACTAGATAAATTTGTATTGTTTAATATGATGGTGTAAATACAGTAGGAACTGATAGTGAATTTAAATTGTATTGTTAATGACTTCAAAAATTTTATTTGATATTTTTATTTTGATTTTGGTAAAAGGGAGATTATATGATAACATAAAATATAGTGACACAATTGCTTGATGTCTTAAAGTAAATAAATTTATAAATTTGGTTTTTTAAATTAGATTAATTGACGGAATTAGAGGATGGAAAGATAAAATGATAATTATCGCAGAGTTTATTTCGTGTGGCTTTATTATGATGAATAATATTTTAATAGGCTTTATTGTTTATTAATGGTTGGTCTAACAAATTTAAGACTTATATCGATTTTTCCAATGTATTTTTATTCTTATTGGTTAAACAATATCCGGATATTGATACTATTAAAGAGTAATGGTTTCGAGTTTCAAATAAATAAAGGTCCCTAAAGATTCCAAAGAACACTCACTTATGATCTTTTATATATGGGCAATTCCCTGCCAAATAGAATCGATCAAAAAATCGATTTGGCTATAAAAAAAATATTTTAATTCAATAAGTACAGTTTTTGAGATAAAATATTTTTTTTACATCCCACTAAGTGACCACAAACGAAATAGTGTAAGCTTTCTTTTGACAAAAAAGTTTATTTTGAAACAAGTAAGAAATTATAGTCGGGCGAGGCCGACCATATAATACCCTACACCTGTTACAAAAATGAAATGTGATTTTGTTTTCATAATAAAGCATTGTAGTTAAATTGTACCTTACCTCAGATATACTTAAGCCATTTATTGTTGAATAAAATTGTGGACATTTAAGTCAAATTTTGAAGGGGGCTTTGTATAGGTGATATGGTCAAATGAGACCCTATAATTATAAAATTCATGAGAGTCATCAAGCAGCTTTTTGTTGAGATACGAGTATTTTAAACATAATTATGAATTTAAAAGTCCTATTCGTCGGGTTGGGGGCTGGGTGAAATAATGGACCGATGTTAACCATTTTCAATATGCTTTATTTCCGGTACTATAGAAGATCACATACCAAATTTCATTGAATTATCGTCAAAATTGCGACCTGTAGTTTGATTACAAGGTTTACAAGCCCTATTCAGGGGTTCAATTATATGGGGGCTAGGTGAAATAATGGATCGATCTTAACCAATAGGCTTCGTCCCTGGGATAATAGAAGATCATGTACCAAATTTCATTGAATTATCTTCAAAATTGCGACCTGTAGTTTGATTACAAGGTTTACATGGACGGACAGACGGACGGACGGACATAGCTAAATCGACTCAGGAAATGATTCTAAGTCAATATTATTGTGCGTTACAAACATCAGCACAAACCCAATATATCCTCCCCACTAAAGTGGTGTAGGGTATAAAAATAGGGGAAAATGTAGTGACAAATATTGAAAAAATATTATTCTTGAATTAAAAAAATAATTTTTTTTGATAGATATCGCATCACATTAAGCGACTATAAAGGACTTTATTTTGCTTTCTTTTGAGCAAAAAAGGGCAAATTTTGAAAAATATAAAATTATTTAAAAAATTAAAATATTTTTTTGGAAACAGTAAAAAATAGCTATCTAAACTTCCTTGGACAATTATTGCTAGGACCAATAGTTGAAGAGCTACACCCATTTAAAAAAAAACCCTGTATGACCAAAATGTCCAACTTTGGCCCTCTCTAACTCCGGCAGTTTTTGATCTACTATCTGATAGTACTAACCTTGTTGAAAATTCTATCCAAATCGATTTTTTGAGTTGGGACACTCGACACTGATATATAGAAATCTATATATAGAAATCGTATTACTGAGTTTAGCGATTGATGGGACCATAGTCCATAGCGATAGAGCAAGAAGTGCAATCAAACTGTTTTTAAGATCATTCCATAACAGATCTCAGAAACAAGCAGTAAACAGAGGGAAAAATAAATATACACGCCTGGTACAAAACTGACACCAAACTGTTTATAATTTTTCAATACCATCCGTTGTCAAAGTATATACATACGTACGACAACACTGTGTAATGTTGACAACATTGCAACACTTGACAAACAATCCGTTGCCAGTGAGCTTACCACGTTTGTTAACATTTAGACAATGGATGTGTATAAAATTTAGATTTTGACAACGAATTGTTGCAATGTTGACAACATTACATAGTGTTGTCGTACGTATGTATATACTTTGACAACTGATGTTATTAAAACATTATAAACTCTTTGCTGTCAATTTGGTACCAGGCGTGTATATTTCCTTTTCCCTCTGTGTACTTCAAACATTTTGTATACATTAGTAAAATAAATATTTCAAAAACAACATCTTTATGAATAACTCTTTAACTTAAATAAATTATCATAAAGATAAATATTACCCCTAATTCCATAGAAAATTTTAAATCTAATTAATAATTTAGCTTTAGGCAAACTAAACATTTTGCTAATTTCAAGAAATAAACAAACAAATGTATTCATTATATTTTACGACAACTGTCATAAAATAGTAGTACTAAAAACTACTGTGACTACTAAAATTTATTGTTATGATAATTTCAATAAACATGTATTTTGTTTTACATCAATATTTTATGATGTATCGTCATTTTGATCAATCGATATTTATAAGTTTTATTTATACAGTCTATAAACATGTTTGAAAATCATAATGTCTGACTGTCATAAAACATGAACTTATTGTCAATTTTATAGTCATATAAATTTTGATTAAGTTGGATGTCTGTACGAAATGAAAAAGTTAGCAAATGAAATTTGATATGCCTATAAACGTGTGTGAATTCTTTAGGTTTAAATTACAATGTATGTATGTAAATGTGTCTACATTTTTTTTTTACAAATTAAAATAAATTACTTAAATACGTACATATTTAAAAGTTTTTGAAAAGTATGCTAATATTGGTAGATTTTTTTTGACACTTTCTTTTGTGATATTTCACATACATATGTATTATTCGTATTATGGAATTTTAATATGCTTATTAATATCTTTTTAATTGTGTGTTTTCTTAACACATTTGATTTAGAAACAAGTATGAATGTATAGTCGGGCATGCCCGACCATATTACGCACTACGCCAGGAAGTATGTTAAAAATGTGGATTTTTTTTAATATTGGTGGTTTTTTCAAAGGGGGGTTTACAAATGTCGATTACATTGAAATTATTTATGCAGAATTTAATCGTGATACTAGTTTTTATAAGTAATTTTCTGAGCCCCGATTATTACAAGAATCTGCAGTATCATTAATATTTACTTATATACTTAAAACTAAGTTTTGACGATTTTTGTAAAGATACTAGATCATTCAAAATAATTATGAACTCAAGCCCTATCCGGAGGATATGGTTGTACGGGGGCTAGGTGAAAGAATGGATAAATTCTGAACCGATGGGTAAACAATACGCGTAATACCTTTCCCTCTATAGTGGTGTATCATATAAAAATATGTATAAATATTTGGTTGTATTATAAATGCGTCTTATTAGCATTTTAATTATTTCTTATTGTTTAAGTTAATTTTCTATTGTATTTTGGCAGACACCTGTAGTTTAATATATTGGATTATTTTTTATAAAGACAATACAGTTGGTCCCCGATTATCGAATATATTTAATAAAAATTTACCACACGATATTTGCCATTCTTTTTATGCAATGTTCCTGTTAGATCTGAGTAGTTCGATCCGTACAATTAACATGTTTTGTCATCGATTTTTGACACATATTTATGCATATTTTACCCATACGAGCATAATTCCCAATAATTTCATTTTAGTAGCATATTTATGGTATATTTTGAATTTTTTAGAGAATATTTTACTTTTTTATACATATTTTGTTATTTTATGTTTTTTTTTTTAATTTTTATATATTTTACATATTTTTGAGGCAGTAATACATCGAAATATTGATCGCAGACCAAACAAGTAAAAATGTTACATTCGGCTATGCCTAATCTAATATATCCACCATCAAACCGTATGCCGTAAAAGGAATGCTCTCCTATAAACATCAGGGTAATATTTGGAATAGTCAATTATGGACTGAGCTCTTTCAAACCGCTCGTTATAAAATTTTGTTGAAAGATTTCGGTTCGTATAACACTTATTTGTCTCGAATTTCATCGCTGTAATCGTATTTATACCCTACACCACTTTAGTGGGGAGGGTATATTGGATTTGTGCTGATGTTTGTAACATACAAAAATATTCGTTCTATACCCACCTTAAAGTATACCAATCAACTTAGAATCGTTTTCTGAGCCGATTAAACCTTGTGTGCAAGGTACAGATCGAAATTTTCAAGATAATTGGATAGAATTTGGCACACACGCTTTTTTTTGCCCAAGGACGAAGCCTATTGAAAATGGTTAACATCAGTCTATTATTTCACCTAGCCCCCATACGACAGAAACCCCCGAAAAGGGCTTCTGAACTCATAATTATGTTAAATATACCTGTATATCGATAAAAAAATAAAACGACTAAGTTTTATACAAGCCTTGATGAACTTGCCAAATTTCATAGAGATCGGGCCTCATTTGATCGTAGCTCCCATACAAGTCCCCTTCAGAAAATTACTTGAATCTCCAAAATTAACTTAAAAATACAAATATCGCGATGAAATTCAACACAAATAAATATTATACAAATATAAATATTTGTCCCT